GGGGCTTTATGCATTGAAGAAGCACTCAAATTGTACCAGCCAGTCMCTGTTAGAAGCTGTGAGCCCCACCATGACAATTTTTCTGTAAAGTGTTATCATTAGCTAAACTTCCTGGAAGCAATGGCTCCTTCCTATCCTCCCTCCGTCCCTCCCTTCTTTCTCCCATTCTCTCTTACTATCTGCAGTACTAGGGAAGGAACTCAGGATCCTGCATATGCTAGGCAAGTGCTCTATCACAAATCTATATCCCCAGCCCTTGAAACAACTTTGTTTTTCTCCAGTGACCACAGAATAGTGTGTTTGTGGTAGAACAGGAGAATCACAAAAATGGGGCAGAGATCCTTCTCCCTTCTTTCCTACACTCCTGATCTGGTTTCCCTCTGGCTTTGGATTCATCTGAATAGGTACCACGCTGAGGTGCCTGGAACAGGAGGGCTGTGCCTTCGGGAGGCCTGTGGCAGGTGTGTTGTATTCTGATAAACAGGGATTGTCGTGCAGGGATACGTGCAGGGATCTGAGACTTTTCMGGGAGAAGATATACCAAGGATAAGCTACACCAGCAGGAATGCAAGTTTGCAGCTGGGCGCAGGAGACCATTCCCGCAATCCCAGCTACTTGGGAGGCTGAGGCAGGAGGATCACAAGTTTGAGGTCAGCCTCAGCAACTTCGAGACCTTTTACTATCCGGAAAAAAAGAAAGAAAGAAAGAAAGAAAGAAAAGAAAAGTGGAAGTTTGCATTGGTTTGGGGACTTTTCCAGGGCTATTTGGGCCTGACTGGGCGAGGGGCTTCCTCATCCATCAGCTCTGAAGCTGCAGGCAAGGCACTTAATGCCTTTTTGCCTCAGTTTCCTCCATGGAAAGATAGTCCTAAGCATCCCTAACTCACCTAGTCRTAGGACACACTCTCCATCTTCAACWGTGTCTGCAGCCCTGGAGCTCCGGCTCAGGGGGGAACATATCCGCCTTCACAGGTGTTCTGGAGCTAGTTCTTTGTTCAAAAAATCAAAGGAGACAGATCTAAGCTCAGATCCTGATTCCATTTTTTTTTCTTTTTCTTTTTTTGGGGCTGAGGATCAAAGTCAGGGTCTCACATATGGTAGGCAAGTGCTGGACCCTTGAGCCACATCCCCAGACCCCCTGATTTCTCATCTTTAACCAGCCCTTAGCCAAATCCCTTGGCATGTTTCAGCCTCAGTTTCCTCCTCAATCCAAGTTGACTCTGTGTTGTAAGGTAGTCAGGAGATTTCAACAAAATAATGTGTGTAACATGTGCTCCCTCCCTGGCTCTAGGGCTCTGTGTCTTCCCCAAACCTGCTACCCACACCAAGCATGTGGCTGCCTGGCACCCTCCTAAAGACTYCATATCCAACACTTTATTGAATCCTCACTAGAAATGGAGAGATCACTTTTGCCATCCCCATTTCAAAGATGAAGAAATTGAGCTCCGAGACGTCCAGTGACCCGACCAAGATCATAATGTTTGGAATAGATGGAGCAAGAATTGGTGTCCAGCCTGGCATGGTGGCATATACCTGTAATACCAGCGACTCAAGAGGCTGAGGCAGGAGGATCACAAGTTCAAAGCCAGCCTCAGCAACTTAGGGAGGTCGTGAGCAACCTACTGAGAAGCCGTCTCAAAATAAAAAAAGAAAAAGGGCTGGGGATGTGGCTTGGGGGCTAAGCGCCCCTGGTTTCAATCCCCAGTATTAAAAAAAAAAAATTCAAGCCCAGGGAGACAGGCTTCAGATCTGTGCCCCACACCTCTTGCAGGAATTTGTCAGTTCCCAGAAGGTGAAACTCAAAATAAAAAAAGAAAAAGGGCTGGGGATGTGGCTTGGGGGCTAAGCGCCCCTGGTTTCAATCCCCAGTATTAAAAAAAAAAAAAAAATTCAAGCCCAGGGAGACAGGCTTCAGATCTGTGCCCCACACCTCTTGCAGGAATTTGTCAGTTCCCAGAAGGTGAAACTCTAAAGTCAGCCCCAGCTGCCCGAAACTCAACCACAGGGAGCTGGCTCTTGGCCCCCTTGCTGGCTCTCTTCTTTCCTCTCAGCCTCACCCTGCCACCCCCATTTCCCTCCCTGGCCCTAGGGCTCTGCTTCTTCCCCAAACCTGCTCTACCACAATTCCTTCCAGGTTCCCTCATCTGTAAAATGGGGATAATAACAGTACCTGTCTCAGAGGTATGTTGTAAAGATCAGAAGAGATGCTTGAAGTACAGTGCTTGGAGCCTGGCACATGGCAGATTCTCAACGAATACAAGTGATCATCACCACTATCATTGTTTTCATAATGTCTCAGAAGTCCTGGGAAAGAGGCTCGGGATAAGCATTACCTACAGTTGATGGTTGAGGAAACTGAGGTTGAGAGGGTAGAGCAACAGCTGTCCACGTGCTCAACTAGGAAAGAGAGCAGGATTTTATTGGGGCCTCCTGATTTTCCGATTTCAGATCTCGTTAACTTCTGCTACTCTCTGCTGGGCAGATGAGTGAACCATAATATTTATTATTTACCTAATGGGTGCCAAGCCAGGCCCTGGGTGCTGAGGAGCATTCAGAGATCTGACCTAGACCCTTAAAGGAGCTTAGAACACGACAAACCAGGCATGGAACCAAAGCCTTGTTTGTTGAGACAGAACACACTCAGGGTCCAAAGAGGACAAGAGGCAATCTAGCTGAGAGAGAAAAAGCAGGCAAGGAAGGCTTCCTGGAGGAAGTGGGGTTTAAGCCTGGCCACCAAGTACCAGTGAGATACGCAGACTAAAAGGGTCTGTACAGGGTAGATAAGGTCAGAGCTAGAGCAACAGCTACTGATTCTTGAAGCCCCTTACGAACCAGTCCTGGGCCAAAAGCTTTACATGCATTATCTCATGAGATTTCCCCATACTCCCATGAGGTAAGTGGGAATAGAGATGAGAAAAACCAAGGTTTGGAGAATTTTTAAAACCTGCCTGGGGCCAGGCATGTGGCTCTTGTCTGTAATCCCAGCAACTCAGGAGGCTGAGGCAGGAGGATTACAAATTCAAGGCCAGCCTGGGAAATTTAGCAAGACCCTGTCTCAAAATGAAAAGTTAAAAGGGCTGGGGATGTGGCTCAGTGGTAAAACGCCCCTGGGTTTAATCTGCAGTACCAGAAAACAAACAAATCTTGCTTGGTGTCACACAGCTAGTAAAGCAGCAGGGCTTCAGTTTCAATCCAGACAAGCTGGCAAAAAAGCCTGGGCCACCTCATCATCAGTGATCCGATGAGGTCCGGAGCTGGGAACAGACTCTGGAAGGTTTTGAATGTCAAGGCTCAGACTTTCCTACAAACCACACAGTAGACAGGCAGGAATCTGCAGATCTGGAATGAATGGCAGCTCTGGCACTCACTACCAAGGTCACTTCTGAGCCTCTGAACTGGAAAGCTGAGGACTGGAAATAGATGATCAACAATGAAGGGTTTAGAATGAGGGAGGGAGACTCTAGTGACAAAAGGATTGTTTAGGAGAAACTTAGAGATGTGCAAGTATCTGCCAAGTGCTGGGTCCTCAGAATACAATTGAGCTTTTTTTTTGGGGGGGGGTACTAGGGATTGAACTCGGAGGCACTCAACCACTGAGCCACATTCCTAGCCCTATTTTGTATTTGATTTAGAGACAGGGTCTCACTGAGTTGCTTAGGGCCTCATCATTGCTGAGGCTGGCTTTGAACTCACCATCCTCCTGCCTCAGACTCCTGAGTTGCTGGGATTACCACTGTGCCCAGCCTCAGAAAACAATTGTGAACAAGACACAATCTGTACTCTGGACCCTCACTCCAGCTGTGCCTATGGTGGAATAAACAGGACTCCGGAGCTGGATTGTCTGATTCCACTGTCAGTTCTCAAATCAGTGAATCTCTCTGTATGACCTTGGGCTTGTTACCTAGCTTCTCAGCCTCTCCACCTTTACCACAAAGATAAGCATTGCTCTTCCCAGGATTGTTGGTGTAAATTAAATAAAACAACACATTTAATGGTCTAGCATGGTGCTTGGCATACAGTAGACACTCAGTAGATGTTAGTTTTCCCTATGAAGAGGCATAAATGTTGGGATCCATGTCTTGTCCCCCCCCCCCCCCCATTCTGCCAATTAAAGTTACTGGTTCCTGGCTTTCATTTTAGCAGAAAGGGGGATATAAATGTATATAATACAGTCCAACCACACAAACTAACAAAGAGCCCTGTGTCCTGGGAAATGCACTGCAGGATCTAGGCTCAGATCTGGACTCCAAGCCAAAACATTTCTCCCCATCCCCAGGGAACCCGGGCCCATTTCTTAATGCACTATGAGCTGCTCAATACTGTGCTGTGTGTCTGGTAACCGCCCTCGGTTTCAGTTTCGTGGGCTGCTGGAGCGGGCCTACAGGGATAGGAGCAGGTGTCGTGGCCCCTTTAAGCTGTAAAGCTGGTGTTGCAATCGGGGCTTCTAAGGCCGGTCCTTTCCGGGGGGCGGAGCCTGTGCGTGTTGCAGCAGCCAACCAAAGCGCCGCATTTTCCGCGGGAGATCTGAATTTCGCGGCACGCAGATTGGCGCTAAAAAAAAAGAGAGAAGAAAAAAGAGACTGAGAAAGGCTTGGGGACCAGAGAGCGAGCCGAGAGCGAGTCTCAGGGCCCCTGCCGCGTCCGAGCACACCGCGTCTCTGCCGAGCCCGTAGGCACCCGAGGCTTCTCCCCGGAGCGGGCCAGACCCCAGGCGCCCCAAGGCCTTCGGGTCGCGGGGCAGTCCCGGGAGGCGGCCGCCCTCGGGGCGGGACAGCTCCTGGTAGTGCCACCGCCGCCAGGCGGTCTCCAAGCGGCGATCTCCAAGCGCTGCTCGGCCTTGGGCCAGGAGGGGAGGGTCCGGCCTTGCCCGGTAGACGTCCATTGGCGGCTTCCCCCGGCCTCCGCGCCATGCCGCCTTCTGTGTGAGCCGCTGCGGGCTCCACAGCCCCCAGGTGCCCGCGGGCTCGCCAGGGCCGTTGGGTAGGGGGCGCCGCACTCGCCATGCTGCGCGGGCCCCGGGCCCTGGCTCCGGCCGCTGCGCAGCCCGCAAAGGGGGTGACCTCTTTGAGCCCCACGGAGCTGTGGCCGCCCGGCCTCAGCAGCCCCCAGCTCTGCCGGGCCACCACTACCTACCACACCTCGCTGTACCCGCAGACGGTGCCTCCTGCCGCGGCACCTAGCACCTGCCTCGACGCCACTCCCCACGGACCCGAGGGCCAAGTTGTGCGATGCGTGCCGGCAGGCCGGCTGCCGGTAATGCTGGGGACCCCCACTGCTTCTCCCTGTGCTTTCTGGGTGGGGAAAAGGAGGGAGGAGCTCCTGAGATTCAGTTTGAGCGAAGCAGGTTGAATTTGGGGAACGGAGAAGATGAACTTTCAGTTTCCAGAACTTTTTTTGCCCCTAATAACTGAGGGGGAAAAAACCAACCCCATCATTTTCGGAGTTCGGATGAAATCGTCTTATCTACTGTCGTGGGGTGTGCTGAGCACTAAATCGGGAGTCTGGAGACCCAATCCAATGTCCCTAGTGCACTGGGTGACTGGAGAAGTAACTCCACAAGGCACCCATCATTGCCACTGTTCATTCATTTCTTTATTGTACTGGGCACCTGCTGCTTGTCCTCAGGGCTTGGCCTGGGGATACCTTGGGGACTTAAGGCAGGAGTATAAGTCTGGTGGCTCTCTCAGACCTAGTCTGGCTTGGACAGACTGCAGACTGTCGCTCCAGCCAACTCCTTCCCAGGTATATGCCCTAGGTCTTTCCCCAGTCTTCGCTCCCAGATAGGCAGTGGCAGATGCAAATACAGGCAGCCCCCCCCCCCCCCGGGGGGGGGTTCCTGTTCAGCAGGGGTATGCCCTCATGCCCCTGCTGTGGCCAGGGAGGGTCCAAAGTATGGTGGCATCCAGCAGCACAGGGGTGTGTTTTGTGGAAGTGGAATTCCTGGAGCTGAAGCAACCTTAGTCTGGGGGTGGAGTGGGAAAGGGCCTGGGGGCCTGGTGACAGGGCGGGGTTAGGGGAGCCTGTTTTTTCAGTCCTGATTGCCACTAATTCACTGTGTGTATTTGAGTCTGGGCCTCAGTTTCCTCTTCTTGAAAATGCACGTGTGCCTGTGGTAGCTCTGGGGCCAGCTCACCTTGGGTCACTTCTAGCTCCAAGTCCTTGGTTTTAGAAGCTTGCTCCAGGGAGGGAAAGTGGGGGTGTTGTAGTTGGCTTAGTTGTGGTTGTAATAAGTTTGGGTGTCCCCCACTCCCAGGCCTCTGGTGAGATCTGTGACAATCAGCAAGCATGGATCCCTGGCCATCTCTTGCTGTAGGAAGAGTCCCAATTCCTGCTACTGGAATCAGGCTTGGCTTTGCCTCCCCAGAACCCCTTCCTGCCCATTAGTTCCAACTAGGAGGGCAGGAGGCAGGTATGCTATCATCCTCACTTTATAGGTCAAGCACCTGAGAATAACCATCATCTTTCAGTGTCTTGTGTTCAGTATTTTATACTTTAAAATATTCTTGTAGCCTATGAAGTAAGTGGGATTAGTAGCTCCATGCTACAGGGGAAACTGAGGGTCAGAGAGGGGATGTGACCTGTCCAAGGTCATAGAGGGAGATTGGGTAGAGTGACCTGACCCACAAGTCATCTTCCTATATAGCCTTGACTTTCTCCAGTACTACCCGAATTAGATAGAAGGGCCAGTCTCTCCTCTGGCCAGCTGCTTTCAAACTCAGAGTTTCAGTAACAGCTGTGGTTTTGAACTACTTTGGATGCTCCCAGAGGATTCCAGACTGCATCTGTCTGAAACTCCCTCCAGGAGGGGCTCAGTGATCTTGGCAAGGACAGCTCTCTCTTATTCAATGCCTCTCATATGCCAGATACTGCTTGGCACTCTTCAAAACCATCATCTTGGTCAAGATACCCAGGATGAGGTACCTTGAAGGCAAGGAAATTGAGCAGAATAGTGAAGTCACTTGCCCAAGTTACGAGTCAAGGAGTCGGGGAGTCTGCTTACATAGATACCTCTAGAGGCCTGCCAGGTCCAGAGCCCCCTCTCCTGTGGGTTCCCAGATGCCCAGGGCCTCAGCCCCATAGGCAGGCCTGCCCCCTGCTTACTCATTTTACAAGGGTGTGACCCGAAGCAGCTCCAAACCCAACCCTGGGTGTGGCTGCCTGCTTTGTGGCCAGGCTGCAAAGTGCAGGGGGAGCAGGATTTGTTGGGGAGCTGTCCTTTAAAGGGTTGGCAACCAAGATGGAGGGCAGGATGAAGGCTAGACCCCAGGTCTGCCTGTTCCCTGTCCAGTGTTCTTGCCACCACTTGGAGAAGACTCAGGAGATAGTCCTTCATCGAGTCCCTCCTCTGGCCAGGCACGTGATATTCTTCTGTTTCTGCTCTTCAGGGACCTAGGAAGACAGTGGGATTCTGCAAGATTCTGCAATGGTTCTCTTGTCGTTGTGTCTATATTTTTCAAATTTCCTCTGAGAGCCGTAAAAGAAAATAAACTTTTTATTTATTTACTTTTTGAGGTGGTCTGGGGTCTGGCTATGTTGCCTAGGCTCGCCTTGAACTCCTAGGCCCAGGCAATCCTCCTGCCTCAGCCTCCTGAGTAGCTGGGACAACGGGTGTGTGCCATGCTGCAAAGGCTGAAAACAAACCTTTTATTGAGCTGCACAAGGCAGATCAGAAGGGGAGGGGTAGGCTCAGAGGGGTGAGGCCATGATACCCTAAGTCCCCATCTGTCTAGCTACCAGGTGGCACCGATGGGGACTGAAAGTGAGGCTCAGCCCCTTACATGTGCTTCTGCACCTCACTGTCTAACTGAGAGCTTGGGAGAGACTTGGCTCCACTCTGTGTGACCTTGGGCAAGTCACTTCCCCTTCTAAGCCTGAGTTTCCTTTCCTTGATGCCAGTAAGAGGCTTGGCCTGGGGCTTCCGGTAGGTCGCTGTGTTGCTTCCTATAGGTCACTATGTCTTCTCTCTGAGGTTTGGCAGGATGTATTTGAATTCTAACCAGGTTAAAGGGGCTGTCAAAGACGTTGAAATAGGAACCTTGCTGGCCTCTGGGTGTGCTCACAGACCTTTGCTTTCCTTGGCCCCTCACAGCTATCTCTGTCAGCTCACCCTTGAACTTGGCCCTTGCTGGTACCTTAGTGCTGGCAGCTGCCCTGCGTGAGCACTGGCCTGGGCAGGCAGAGCGCTTTTGCTGCACCCTCTCTCTCACTCCTCAGTAGAGGTGGAGTGGACTGTCTCCATTTTACAGGTGGCCCAAGAGGCCAAGTGACCCTGTAGCTCACCCAGCTAATAAGGGGGAGGCCGGGCTGTGCACCAGGTTGGTGTGCCCCAGGCCTGTGATCAGCCTCTCTTTGGGATTATCCTCTGTCATCTCAGTTCTGCAGGCTCAGCCCAGTCACATGCTGACTTCTGGGCAGTGCCTATAGGTGTCAGGGAGGTGTCCCAGGCTGGGGGGCATGGCTGCTTAAGGACCCTGGGAGTAAGGATTATGGTCAGGGGGATTAAGAGAAGGGAGGGGGCCCGTGTGTGTGTGTGTGTGTGTGTGTGTGTGTGTGTGTAAGAGAGAGAGACGCGGAGGCCAGCTATGCCGGCCTTGGCCCCATTCCAGCAAACCCGGGAGAATGTATGTGGCATTGAGCTGACGCAGCCTTGCGCGGCCCTAGGGTCAGACAGACCTGGTTTGAACCCTGAGTCTGCCTTTGTGTGAGCGTGGGCACGTGCCTTAACCCCTGAGCCCACTGTCTGCCCAAGTGCCAGTCCCAGTGTTGCAGAGCTGCGGGAGCATGTGCCCTGCCCCCTGCAGGTCTCCTGTTCGGGGGTCCTCTCTGCCACCTCTGGCTGTGCRGGGGTTGAGCTTCTGGTGGGGGAGGCTCTGGGCTGGCCCGGCTCCGCCKCTCTCCCTGACCTTCGTATTCCTTACGAGGGATAGATGAAGGTCCTGGGGTGGACAACCTTGACYGGCTGGACAAAGGCCTCAGAGCTCACCAGCCTCAAGTCCTTCAGCCACGAAGTGGGGTCCCGTGGTGTTGGGAAGGTCTAGTGAAGTGGATGTGGAGGCTTGGCTCGGGGAATGGGCAATGCTTGGGTCTTTCTCTAAGACAGGATGGGGCTAGGTTCCTACACTCTAGGAATTTACCAGTTGAGAGGCAGATAAGGAATATTCAAGAGAGGCTTTGAGAGGAGTGAGCAGGGAGGTGTCTGGGTTATGTCGGGACCTGGGCAGGGGTGGGTGAGAGAAGGGTCATATCCAGGCTCCTCCAACCAAGGAGCAGAGTTCCTCCACTCAGTCCAGGAGGACTTCCTGGAGTGAAGGYCTAATGGAGGAGGCAGGAGGAGCTGTCACCCTACCCCACCCCCCACACACCTGTCAGCCCAGCTGTGCTCAGCAGCGGTTGGAAGACTCAGTCAGCCCTGCTGAGCATGACCTCACCACCAAGTGTTAAATTAAGCCCTTAAGTCAAGTCTGGGTGACTCGGGACAGGGGAGGAAGGAAATGGGCCCAATGGCCCCCTGAACTTTTGTCAAGGAAGATGGTGAGCTTGAATTTTAGCTGTGGGACTGTGTATTTCCTGAATGCCTACTGTGTGCTGAGCCACAGACTGAGAATTTTTCAGATGATGCCTTCTCAGTCTTTACAATAGCCCTGCAGATATTTTCTGCCGCATTTTGCAGAGGAAGAAACCAAAGCTCCTAGAAGCAGAGCATTTTCCCAGGTCACACAGTGAGCCTGAGAGGAGCTGGAGACTCCARCTGGCTCTCTGACCTGTGTCCCAGTGCCCCAGTGCCCTATCCCTGCCCCTGCCCAGCCCTAACCAGAAAGGAGGCCTTTTCCGGGCTGTGAGGCTCTGGGCCGGGTTGGGGCCAGTGGTGAGGAGCAGATGGGTCTGCGGTTTGATTTCCCCAGCAGGTGTTTCCCAAGCTTGGTGGGGGGATGGGGAGGGGCAGCAGGGGCCTCAGCTGCCTGTCCTTAAGACACTGGGGAAGGCTTATTGTCTGCTTCTCAGCAAAGAAAGAATAGCTGAATGTCTCTTGAGGGGACCCTGGATCCCTCAAGCCAGAGGCGGATCATGAGGGTGGGGTGTGTTTGCACTGTTTCCCAGTGTGGGTGCCTCCCTGGGGTGGGGCACCAAGCCAGGAAGTCCCTAGGGTCTGGGCGGATGCTAGGCCACACCCCGATAAGGACCAGCTGTGGGGCTGTGATGGGCACCAGCTGGCTGGGTCAGCTGTTTTTTGCAGAGGGGCTGGTCCCCAACCTGATGTGGTTTAGGCCTCACCTACTACTTCCTCCTTTTATGGCTTCTGGGCCTGGGGTTGGGGGTAGAGGCAGCCTGGGGCCTGTGGTTAGGAACCCTGAGCCTCTGGCCACACTGGATTTGGTAGGGCCTCCAATGCCTGGGCCTCAGAGATGGGATTTTCTTTTCTTTTTTTTTTTTTTTGGAGGGGGGCTATGGAATTGAACCCAGGAGCACTTAATCATTGGGTCCTTTTTATTTTTTATTTTGAGACAGGGTTTTACTAACTTGCTTGGGGACTTGCTAAATTTCGGAGGCTGGCTTTGAACTTGTGATCTTCCTGCCTCAGCCTCCCAAACTGCTGGGATTACAGGTGTCTGCCACCATGCCCAGCTCAAGAGTGGGATTTTTATTTGCCCCTCAGGAGACAGGACATCCCCCTTCTGAACGATTACCTTTCAGGTCATTGATATTTCCTTACCAGTGAGTGTGGCCATGCTGCACCAGGACTCGTGGCAAACTGGAGGTAGCTGCTAGTGGCCTCTGCACCTTAGCCCCAGGTCAGGGAAAGTCTAAAGAAAGACTGATTCTTACTGCACCTCTCTCCCTGTCTCTCCAAGGCCAAAAGGAAGCTGGACCTGGAGGGAATCGGGAGGCCAGTGGTTCCGGAATTCCGGACTCCCAAGGGGAAGTGCATTCGAGTGGATGGCCTCCCCAGCCCCAAAAGTAAGAGCTTCCGATGGGCATCTCAGGGTGGGGTGGCGGGGCAGAGGGCAGCTACCCTCCCCAAATCATCAGAAGCAATATTTGCATTTCCGGTTTATCAAGGTTTCCTGTGTGTTCTCCACTTGATCCTGCCTAAGGCAACTTGAGATTCAGAGAGCTCAAGTGACTTGCCCAGGGTTACACAGCTAGTAAGCGGAATCAGGACTAAAGTCAATGGAAGTCCTGGCACTGCTTCCACACCACATACTGTTCCCTTGTGCCAAATGGGATGCCCGATGCTTTGAGAGACTGCTATTTTTTAAAAAGTTTTTGTATTTAGCCCGGCGTGGTGATGCATGCCTGTAAAGTGGCACTGGAGGCTGAAGGCAGGAGGGCTAAATATGATTCAAGGGGACATGAAGCTTGGATCAATCTAGCCTCTGCCACCTATGAGGTTTCTTTTGTGTTTGTTTTTGGGTACTGGGGATTGAACTTAGCCGCACTCCACCACATCCCCAGCCCTATTTTGTATTTGTTTTAAGAGACAGGGTCTTACTGAGATGCTTAGCACCTCACTTTTGCTGAGGCTGGCTTTGAACTTGCAATCCTCCTGCCTCAACCTCCCARACCACCTGGATTATAGGTGTGCATCACTGCACCTGGCTTGGGTTTTTTTGTTTTGGTACTGGGGATTGAACCCAGGGACACTTTACTACTGAGCTGCATCCCCAGCCATTTTTTTTTTAAATATTTTTTATTTTGAGACAGGTCTTGTTAAGTTGTTTAGGGTCTCGCTTAATTCTGAGGCTGGCCTCGAACCTGTAGTCCTCCTTCCTGAGCCTCCCGAGTTTCTGGGATTACAGGCGTGCACCACTGTGCCTGGCCACCGGTGAAGTTTTTTAAGATCCTGAGAGTGCCCAGATGGAGACTTCCAAAAGCTAAATTAGRGGGGATTTCTGTCTCTTGAGATTTCAGTGCATAGTCTTGTTAAATTGGCATTTTAAGCAAGTGTCTGTGAGAAATACTAGTTTTTCCAGAGAAATAATGAAAAAGGTATGTAACTAGGTGTGTGTTAGTCAGCTTTTTGTCACTGTGACCAAAATACACAACAAAAACAATTTAAGGGAGGAAAAATTTATTCTGGGCTCATRGTTTCAGAGGTTCGGTCTATGGTCAGCCCACTCCATTGCTCTGAACCCAAGGTCAGGCAGAACATCAGGGCAGAAGGGTGTGGTGGAAGGGCATTGCCTGGCTCCTGACAACCAGGAAGCAACTAGAGAGAAAGGGGAAGTGGCCACAGGGAAGGTGAACCCTTCTAGGATGTGCTCCCGTGCCCCACCTCCTTCAGCCACACCCTGCCTACCTACAGTTACCACCCAGTTAGTCCCTTCACACTGGGATGGACCGATTGGGTTACGGGTCTCCCGAGCTAATCATTTCACATGTGAACATTCCTGCATTAACACAGGAGCTTCGGGGGGACACCGCATATCCATACCATCATAAGGTGGGACATGTGAGGAATCTGGGCATCCAGGCAGGGCTCCAACTTGACTGGTCCCTCTTCTTCTGTGAACCTTAGTCATCTTATCTGTAAAAAGAGAGATTACTAGATCAGGAATGATGTGAAAGGTTCCTCTTCAATTGATTGGTAGAGGCTGGCCAGAGCACTGTATTGAAGGATTCTAAATTCAGCAGGATTCGTGAAAAACTGTGCTGATCAATTAGCAATGTCTGCCATGTGCACAAAACCCACTGAAACAGTCTGTATGCCAAACAYGTGCTACCTGTGCATTAAAGAATACTGTAGTCCCCTTCCCCAGGAATCTGAGGCTCTCTAAAATTCAGGTTCCAGAACTAGTTTGACCACTCTCTTGCTATGTGACTTGTAAGTCACTTGATTGCAAAAGGCCCCTTATGGTTTAAGATGCTGCTGCTGAGATATGGTCTTGTGACATCTACTTCATTGAGAAAGGGATTTTTTTTTTCCCATGAATTGCCCTATTTGGTGTTATATGACTGATTCCCTCAGATAACCACTGGGCTACCCATGGAAAGAGAAGGCCAGTGTGTGTCTATAAAAATGATCTCAAAGGGCTGGGGTTGTGGCTCAGTGATAGAGCGCTTGCCTAGTATGTGTGAGGCACTGGGTTCGATTCTCAGCACTGCATATACATAAATAAAATAAAGGTCCATTGACAACTAAAAAAATGTTTTTAAAAAAATGTTCTCAAAGTCAGTTTTGTCTCCAGGCACAGGGGCACTTGCCCGTAATCCTATTGACTTTGAAGACTGAGGCAAGAGGATTGCAAGTTTGAGGCCAGCCTCAGCAAATTAGGGAGACTCTGTTTCAAAATACAAGAAGGACTGGTGCCAGGCATGCTGTAATCCCAACAGCTGGGGAGGCTGAGATAGGAGTATCGCAAGTTCAAAGCCAGCCTCAGCAACAGTGAGGCGCTAAGCAACTCAGTGAGACCCTGTCTCTAAATAAATTACAAAATAGGGGGGAAAGAAAAAAAGAAGGACTGGGRGTGTTGCTTAGTGGTAAAGCACTCCTGGCTTTACTCCCCAGTACTGAGAAGGAAAAGAAAGAGAACCCCAACAAATTCAGGTTTGCCATTCTCTCCCTACAGTAAATTTAAATTCTTGGCTTAACTGGTAGGATAGGGTAATGGTTAGGAAGGAAGATTGGAGCCAAACTGCCTGGATTAGAATTCCAGCTTCTCCACTTTCTAGCTCAGGGAACTGGTGACTTAACCTGTTGGTGTCTTTGTTTTCTCGTCTACATCATGGGGATCCGTGCACACCAACCTGATGTGTGTCCTAAGGATTACCTGTATTCACGTATGGAAAGTGCTGGCAACAGTGACCTGCACATAGCAAGCAGCCGTAGTTGATACAGCTGCTCTGAGCTGTGGTGGAAAGGGGCTCCCAACCAGGAGTCAGGACAACTGTCTTCCAGTCTGGACAGTTCCCCCTGATACCTACTATTTTGCTAGGTATCAGTTTCCCTGCCTGAACAACAGCGGTGAACAAGTCCCTACCTCACAGTGTGCTGTGGCTGGAAAGTGGGTGACAGAGGGTGGTACTTAGTGGGTGCAGATCCGTGGAGAGTCCCCAGGCTGGTCCTCCCAGAGCTGTGAATGAGCCTCTCTCCTTTTCAGCCCCCAAATCCCCCGGGGAGAAGACTCGGTATGACACATCGCTGGGGCTCCTCACGAAGAAGTTCATTTACCTCCTGAGCGAGTCTGAGGATGGGGTCCTGGACCTGAACTGGGCTGCTGAGGTGCTGGATGTGCAGAAGCGGCGCATCTACGACATCACCAACGTGCTGGAGGGCATCCAGCTCATCCGCAAGAAGGCCAAGAACAACATCCAGTGGGTGTGAGTGCCTGGGCCGGGCTGGTCAGCACCGTCCAGTGGGTACACTGCGGTGGGCGGGGMCAGGGGCAATAGCCAATGGGTGTRATTGTCAGGGGCGGGCTGAAAGGAACATCCAATGGGCGCAAGGGCAGGTTTACATGCTAAGGGCAGAGCCAAAATGTATGAGCGTAGAATGGAAGAGCCCTAGTGCTTGCTGGAGTGATAGAATAAGGGTGGGGACAGTGGAGAAAGATGGCTAGGAGGTGTAAAGGCCTGCCAGGACCCCAGACCCTTCCTTGTGTCAGGGCTATCAAGATCCCCACCTCTTAGTTCAGGAAAGTCCCCTGGGCGCTGAGTAGGCGTAACCCACGTTGCTCTTCCCATTCTATAAGGTCTTAAAGGACAGACCTGCAGCCCCTGGCGTGAACCCTAAGAAAGCCCTAGCAGGGGCGGCAGGACTGAGGCCACTCTGGTTCATTTGGGAAAGGCTGGAGCACAGGGATGGACAGAATGGAGCGCTCTCCAAAACTGGCAATCAGGCCTTCACTTGTTCTCCCTCGCCCATCCTCAAGCCTCGAGTTCCAATCCACAGCCGTTCCCTGGGAGTGTGCATGACCACTAATGTGCACAGCCCAGGGGGGACACCCTTGCTGGCTATGTGACCAGCCTTGTCCTGGAGTTTTGCCCACTCTGCTGGTGCGGCTCCGTGCAGCTCTGGGGTTGGGGCTCCCTGGATGGGGTTGATACTGACACTGGAGACTGCTCTGTTCCCAGAGGCAGGGGACTGTTTGAAGACCCCACTCGGCCTGCGAAGMAGCAGCAGCTTGGGCAGGAGCTGAAGGAGCTGATGAGCAAGGAGCAGGCGTTGGACCAGCTCATCCAGAGCTGCTCCCAGAGCTTCAAGCACCTGACCGAGGATAAAGCCAACAAGAGATATCCTGTTTGCGGTGGGAAGGGGGTCGGGCTGCCTGTTGACAGCTGTTCAGGTGTTGCAGCACCTCCCTGCAGGGATTCTGTTGTCTTAGGGGTTCGATAGATCTGTTTCCTCCTTTCTTAGGCTTTCTTCTCAATCCTATTAAAATTACTTTCTCATTAAAAATAAGCCAAGTGGGGCTGGGGTTGTGGCTCAGCGGYAGAGCGCTCACCACATAAAGATACATAAAGATATTGTGTCCAACTTTAAAAAAATAAGCCAAGTACATTTCTAAGTTGCTGATCCTGGCCTGGAACTCGGTGAACCTTCTGCCTCAGTCTCCCAAGTAGATGGGGCCACAGGCAGGAACCACCATATCAGCTAGTACATTCCTTTAAGTCTAGAAAACAGAGAGAAGTGAGCTTCCACCTTCATGTAGCCATTGTTCCTTCACTCTTCAGCTGTGTGTGTTATTTCAACAGTCGTGTGCCCCTGTATGTTGTACGTGTTATCCAGGTTTTCTCCACTTGGTGTATTACTGTAGATATCTTTCTATGTTACATATTCTTCCTAAACTGTTTGGTTGACCCATGTGAAACCTTTGGTATTTGACCACTTTTTAATCTTTGAAAAAGAAATTTCATATTGTTCAACTTCGTATTTATTCAGGTCCTGGGAATTGAACCCAGAGGTACTCTACCTCTGAACTATATCCCCAGTTCTTTTTAATTTTTTGTTTTGATTTGTTTTGGTTCGGGTACTGGGGATTGAACCCAGGGCCTTGCACATGCAAGGCAAGCACTGTACCAACTGGGCTATATCCCCAGCCCCTTAATTTTTTGTTTTGAGATGGAGTCTTGTTAAGTGGCTTAGGGCCTCACTAAGTTGCTGAGGCTGGCCTTGAACTTGTGATCCTCCTGCCTCAACCTGGAAGCACCTGGCATAAAGTAGCATTTTAAGATGATTTTTTTTCTCTCCATTTGCTTTCTAATGGGATTCAGGGTGGCTTGTGATATTGAAGAGCAGAGGATACTTTTGAGGTATTTCTGAGATGTTTAAAGAATTTTGAGAAGGTGATGTGTGGAGGCTTTGGAGCGGTGAGTGGAGGCCCTGCCTGGGGGACTGGAGGCAGTGACTTTTCTTGACTCTCCCTGCCCCTACACTGGCCTATGTGACCTACCAGGACATCCGTGCCATGGGCAACTTCAAGGAGCAGACGGTAATCGCTGTCAAGGCCCCTCCACAGACGCGACTGGAAGTGCCCGACAAGGCTGAGGTGAGGGGGCGAGCATGCGCTGAAGAGCCAAGTGGGACCGGCTAGGTGGCTCTCTGGACTCTGTCCCTGGCACTGCCCGGCCCCAAGTTATGCTGTTCCATGCTGTGCCCATGGCAGTATTGGTGGCCTCCAAGCTGGGGCAGAAATGGCAGAAGCTGGAAAGGGCAACAGAGACAGAGTTCTCGCCTGAGGAAATCTGTCCCTCCAGAGGCTCTGTTCTGTCTGCATCCCACCTGCCCTGGGTTCCTCCTCATATGCATGTGTGGGCCCACACGCCACCATGTTAGTACTCACAAAAATTCTTTCCTGCGGACTGTGTGCTCCCAGGTTCAAGATCAAAATTTCTGTGTGTGTGTGTGTGTGTGTCTTGGAGATTGAACCCAGGGGTGCTTTACCACTGAGCCACGTTCCCAGCACTTTTTAAAATTTTGAGACAGGGTCTCACTAAGTTGCTGAGGGCCTCACTAGGTTGCTGAGACTGGCCTTGAACTTGCATTCCTCCTGCCTCAGCCTCCTGAGTAGCTGGGATTACAGATGTGCACCACGGTGCCTGGCAAGATCAAAATTCTTAACTCTCCCCATGAGGCCTCTGGTGCCCTGACCCCAGCTGACCTGTCAATCTCCACTTCCATGCCTGCCCCATCTGCCTTTGCTTTGGCCACGGTGACCTATGAGCAGTCTCCTACCACACTAAGCACATCTTTATGCAAGACCTTCACACGTGCCGTTCCCTGCAGCTGCAATGCTCCTTTCCCTCTGCCTGGTTTTCTGCTACTTATCCTCAAGTCTCAGCTTGAACATGAGTCACTTCCTTGAGGAAGTGTTCCCTGGTCACCCTCTGACCTCATAGCCRCCTGTGCTTTCCTCACACACTCACTCTCCATTCCCTGGGACGTGTCTGGCGTGATGGCATGATCGCCTCCTGCTTCGTCTGTTAGAGTGTAGGCTTCAGGAGAGAACAGTCTGCGTGCCTTGTGTCTGCAGCCCAGGGTCTGGCACATAGGGAGGGCTCTAGAAGGGATTTGATTGAAGGAAGAAGTGGAAGCTACAGGGTTGATTAAGGCCTCATTCCTCCCTTGGAGGAGCTCAGGACCTTGTGGGGAAGAGACCCAAGCAAACAGTGGTGCTGTCATTTGTAACTGAAGATGGGCTTCGAGGGCAGAATGTGCAGAGGAAGCATCCTGGGGGGTGACAGTTGAACTGGGTCTTAAAGACTAAGCAGGTTTTGGAGACTGACCGTGTGCCTGAATGGAGTGTGTGTAGACACTCGCAGGTTTTGTTTTTGTTGGTTTTTATTATATTTTTTAGTTATAGATGGACACAATACCTTTGTATGKATGTATATATGTATGTATGTATTTTTAATGTRGTGCTGAGAATCAAACCCTGTGCCCCACACATGCTGGGCAAGTGCTCAGCCACTAAGCCACAACCCCAGCCCGACACTCAGAGGTTTTGTAGCAGGTGTGTGGTAGGGAAGGGCTGAGGCCTCGTGGCAGGACTGTGTCACTCTGCCTCTCCGTGCGGCATCACAGGCTCAAAGCCAAGGTACTCTTCCTGAAAACAGAGCTGGGGTCCGACAGCCAGAATGCACCGTCTGCCGCAGGCCAGGCAGGGTGCACGTGGAGCCCGGAGTTTGAGCTTCCTCATGTGGACAGTGGCAGCCACATGTGTCTCTGCAGTCACACCAACCCATACATCAGTGTCCAGCTGCCCAGGGCCATGAGCTGCCTTTTCTTCCTCTTCCAGGAGAACCTGCAGATATACCTGAAGAGCACCCAAGGGCCCATTGAAGTCTACCTGTGCCCGGAGGAGGTGCAGGAGCCRGAGAGTCCTGCCAAGGAGCCCCTCCCCTGCACCTCTGCCCTCAGCCCCAGCCTTGACTGTGCCCAGCCCAGCAGCAGCAGCGACCCTGCCGTCCTGGAGCTCGAGCCATCCTCAGGTAGGGACCTCTGCACAGAGAGACGGAGGTGGGGGAGCAGCTGCCTTTGTTGGATGCCCATTCTCTCCAGCAGCTGGGGGTTCGGTCGCCTCCCCAACATAGGTGCACTGCACTTTGTGCTGTGGAAGCACCGGGGCACCACTCATCGGGGAGCCAGTGCTGTTCCCAGGCCCAGGAGGGCTTGGATCTGAACCCAGCTCTGCTGCTTTCCAGCTGTATGCATTGGGCAAGTTCTTGAAGCCCTGTTGGCCTTGACTTCATCATCTGTAAGAAGTTGGGCATAAGAATTAATGACAGCTAGTTCCTGGGGCCAGCCCAGGGCTCTCTCCGCAGGCAGAGGGGCTCACCCTTGACTGGGAGGTGAGAGGTGCAGCTGGTGACACTGATGGGACGTTTCCAGGGAGCAGAGAGGGAGGGGAAATCCCCGGGAGGGTGGAAGGCCTCAGGTGCAGAGCCAGAAAAGGGCCCTGTTGCAGGATGGCCCAGGTGTTACTGGCGCACACAGCCGGCTGGACCGCCAGGATTCCTCAGGGCCACGTGAGCCAGTGGTCTACTGTTTGTTTTTTCAGGAGAATTCCTTCAGGTAGAACCCTAGTGTTTCAATAAAGGCAGAGCTAGAACTGGTCTGATGGGCGTCTGGTGGGGTGTTCTGCAGAACGCAGGTTGGATTCCATTTCTCTAACTCGGAGCTTGACAGACTATTGCCTGCAGGTCAAATCTGGCCTGCTGATATATGACCCATGAGCTAAGAATGGTTTTTATTTTTTATTTATTTTTTTTCTTGTGATTCTGGGGATCAACCCCGGGGCCCTGTGCAAACTAGGCAAATGCTGTACCACCTAGCTATATTCCCAGTCTGGTTTTAACATTTTTAGAGTTGAGGAGGTACAACTGCGTTACAGAGACACAAGTGTCCTGAAAAACCTAAAATGCTATCCAGTCCTGTAGAAAGTTTACTGACCCTGATCCACAACCCTTCATTTTAGACGTGAGTAAACCAGAGAGAGCAAGTGGTTTCCCTAAAGTCACACAGCAAGTTGATGGCAGAAATGAGACAAGAGCCATACTCTCACCTCTTCTCTAATGATCTCCTTTCTGTTTGTTGGCCTTGTCCGGGAGCCAGGCTTCTCCGCGTGCCGGCCATCTGTTCCTCTGGGCACCTCCCCAGTGCCTATCTCCTACCCCAGGCTCGTGCCCCACCCTGTCTTCCCTCCTCCTGTTCTGCCTTCTCACTTGTTTGTTGGCATGGGCACAGTTCTCCAAAGGGAGAACCACCTGAGTGGTACGGCAGTGTCCCCCGAGACCCTGTGTGGAGGCTGACCCCACAGTGTAAGGAAGGGCAAAGCTTTGACCTCAGTTCACCGGTCAAGATCTCAGGAGTCAAGGCTCACGGAGCACAGCGGGGAGCCAGCCCTACTCCGGGTGGCGTGCGATGGCTGCCCCTCACCTTGTCACCTGGCCTCATAGTCCTGTCCCTGTGAAGTTTGGAGGAGGAACACACACAGTCCGTGTTCTGTCCTGAAGTGGAGTCATTTTGAGGGCTCAGCATCAGAGGCCAGAACCAAAGTGGAGGCCACAACCATGTTGGCTCTTGGGTCCTGTCCCTGTTCTGTCATCCCCAGGGGGAATTGCCAACCCTCTGCGGCCTCCGTGTCCCTCATCTTAGAAGGGGTGGGACAAGAGTTGCTCCTAAGGCCCCCCCCAGGCTCTGACACTCTGAGGAAAACTAAAGGTAGCTGATGACACAGGGTCGGAGGCTGGGAGATTTGGGTTTGAGACGGTACCTCAYCTCTGAGTGACTTGGTTCCTGTAGGAGAGTCACCTTAACTTCTCCAAGCCTCGGTTTCCAATCTCTGAAATAAGGACGCTTAAAATTCCCTCAGGGCCAGCTCTGGTGACGTGCACCTGTGGCCCCAGCTTCTTGGGAGGCTGAGGTGGGAGGACTGCTTGAGCCTGGTAGTTTGGGCCAGCCTGGGCCACACAGACCAACTCTTCGCAAAACAGAAGCAGCAAGGCCTGGCATGGTGGGGCACGCCTGTAGTCCCAGGACACAATCACCTAGGAAGGAGCCCGTCCCACCTGTGGCACAGGTGTCCCCACGTCTTATCTCAGTTACTGCTTCTAGTAAGAGGTGTGGCKGGAGTCTGAGCCCATGTCGTGCTTGTTCCCAAGCCAGGCCTCTTCCTGTAAGGGCCCCAGTGGGCTGAACAGAGGTTGGGGTTTGTCTGTAGGTCTTTCTTCTTTCTTTCCTTCCATCCTGGGGATTGAACCCAGGGGAGCCCTTCCACTGAGCCTCCTTCCTCAGCCCTGTGTACTTTTTATTTGGAGACAGGGTCTCTCTAAGTGGCCAAAGCTGGTCCTCCTTCCTCAGCCTCCACCTAGCTGGGATTATAGGTGTGCACCCTGTCAATTTTTTTTTTAATATTTTTTTTTGAGAGAGAGAGAATTTTTAAATATTTATTTTTTAGTTCTCGGCGGACACAACATCTTTGTTGGTATGTGGTGCTGGGGATCGAACCCGGGCCGCACGCATGCCAGGCGAGCGCRCTACCGCTTGAGCCACATCCCCAGCCCCCCCTGTCAATTTTTTTAATTCAAATTTTATTGACTTCTCTGGGCCTGGTTTCCTCATCTGAAGTAGAGGTGACAGCATTGCCTCCTTCAGGGATGCGTGGGTGTCAGGAGGGGGGACTGCACCGTGCCTCACCTGGGGAGCGGAGCAGGCCACCTGCAGGCCACCGCCTGGGCTTTCTGCCGGCCGTTGTGCCCTGCCATTCCACCGTCTCCCCCTCATTTCACGGTGGATATGTAGTCACTGTCCTCCACTTTAGAGGTGAGAAATTGGAGGCTCAGAACCATGGAGTCACTTGCCCAGATCACCCAGCCACTTAGAGGTGGGTCACGGTCTGCCCACGGTGCTCTGTTATTTCCAAAGCTGACTTGGTCGGACATGAAGGGATGACCGCGATGGCGCGGTCAAGGGATGAGACTATTTGACAGACAGTTTCCGGGGCCCCATTCCACGTCCCTGTGTAGGAAATCACCGTCCTCCCTGAGAGGACACGGAGGTGGTGTGCCAGGAAGATGGCCAGTGTGGCTGGAGGGCGGGGTGGGGTGGGGGATGGAGAGGGAGGCAGGGCGGGATGGCACAGGGTCATTTCAGCCCTGACCAGAACCTGGGTTTTATTCCAAGCCAGAGGGGAGCCATTAAGGTTTTAAGTAGGAACACAGACTTCTGGGGAGGCTCCAGCCGTGATGCAGGTGCAGGGGCCTGACCACAGCAGGGGGATGGAAGAGAAGGGCAGGGTGGGGACTGTGGTCGGTGTGGCYATGACCAGTCTGGCTCCAGGACCACAGGCTGGGGGATGGCAGGATCCTGGAGGCTTCTTGGCAGCCACAGGGCCACTGAGGTCAGCTGGGGAGGAGAGTGCCACCAGAGGAGAGAGAGTCGGGTGTGGAGCCCGGGGCCTTTGAGGTTGGAGGGGGGAAGAGGAGGATCCAGCCAGGGAGACCCAGAAGAATTGGCCAGAAAAGAAGAGGAAAACCAGCGGAATCTTCCTGGGAGCCAAGTCCAGAACAGAGCATCGGGTGCCTCCAAATAAGTGGAGGCCAGAGAGGGCTTGGGATGCGGCTCGGGGTGGAGAGCAAGGCCCAGTGAGGCCCTGGGTGCTGTCCCCAGTCCTGGAGGGACGAGGAGAGGAGGCCAGAGAACAGAGCAGAGGATTCAGCAACATGGAGGCCATGGGTTCAGTGACGCGGTGAGGAGTAGGAATAGTGATGGAGAAGTAGAAAGCCAACAGGCTTCTCAAATACGAGAGGGAGTTTACCATGACAGGGAGCGATCAAATGGGCTGGGAATTAGGTGGGGTCCTGAGGCCAGGTATACTTTTTTTTTTTTCTTCTTCAAATTGGGCATCTTAACCATCTTCAAGTTCAGTTCAGGGTTTACTAGCACATTCTTGCCTCTGGGCACCCCTCGAGGCACCTAACTAATCCATCCACAAGAACTCCCGCTCGCCCCTCCCCCCCACCATTCACTGTCTCCGGATTTTGACTGTTCCATGGGATCATGCGGTATTTATCTTTTTGTGACTGGCTTATTTCACTCACTTAATATAGCCCCCTCAAGATTCTTCCATGTTATAGCATATGTCAAAATTTCCTTCCATTTGAAAAACAAAAATTTCTTTCCTTTTGAAGGCAGGAGAACATTCCATTGTCTGTATAGATGACACATTTTGCTCTCCATCCATCTGTCAACAGACCCTTGGGCTACTTCTACGTTTTAACTATTGTGAATATGTTTCCGTGAGCTTGAGTGGGAATGTGTCCTTGAGCCCCTGTCCCTTTTTTTTGTACCAGGGATTGAACCTAGGGGTGCTCAACCACTGAGACACATCCCCAGCCCTTTTTAAATATTTTTTAGAGACAGGGTCTCACTGAGTTGCTTAGGGCCTTGTTAAGTTGCTGAGCCTGGCTTTGAACTCTTGATCTTCCTGCCTCAGGCTCCCAAACTGCTGGGATTACAGGCCTGAGCCGCTGCACCTGGCTCCTGCTCTTTTTCATTTTGGGGGGGGGGTACATATCTGGAAGTGGAATTACCAAGTCCTACATCAATTCTATTTTTATTTATTTATTTTTTGTGGTGCTGGGGGTCAAACCCAGGGCCTTGTGCATGCTAAGCATATGCTTTGCCACTGAGCTACATTCCTAGCCTCTCGGGTTTTTTTTTTTTCTTTCTTTTTTTTATGGTACCGAGTCTCAGACCCAGGGTCTCATGYAARTGGTCTACCACTGAGCTCCACCTCCGACTCTATTTTTATTTTTTTGAGAACTTACCATACTGTTTTTTTGTTTTATTGTTTTTTACTGATTTTATTTTTTTAAAATACACAACAGCGGAATGTATTACGATTCTTATTACACATATAGAGCACAATTTTTCGTATCTTTGTATAAAATATGTTCACACCAATTCATGTCTTTATACATGTAACTTTTTTCTTGCATTACAATTCTTATTACACATTTATACCACAATTTTTCATATCTCTGTATATAAAGCAGGTGGACACCCAATTCGTGTCTTCATCCACATACTTTGGATAATGATGTCCATCATATTCCACCATCCTTGCTAATCCCCTGCCCCCTCCCTTTCCCTCCCTCCCCTCTTCCCTATCTAGAATTCATCTGTTCCTCCCGTGCTCCCCCTCCTACCCCGTCACCATGCTGTTTTCCATAGCAACTGGACCGTCTTGCATTCCCACAGTGAAGCACAAGGGTTCTGGTTTCTCCATCTGCATCCTTGCTGGCACTTGGTATTTTTCTTTTTTGATAGTAGCGTCCTAACAGGTGTAAGGAGGTGTATCATTATAGATTTTTTTTTTTTTTTTGCTTTGTTTTAAACAGTACCAGGGGTTGAACCCAGGGCTGTTCTAGGAGTCACATCCCTAGTTTTTTTTTTTATTTTAAGACAGCATCTCACTAAGTTGCTGAGGCTGCCCTTGAACTTGGCAGTCCTCCTGCCTCAGGCTCTTGGGTTGCTGGGATTACAGGTGTGCGCCACCATGCTTATCCATCTTTAATCAGGTTTTTTTGCCTGTTGAGTTATAGGAGCACTCTGTGTAATTTTGGATAGTAATCCCTTACCAGATCATGATTTGCAAATATTTTCTCCCCTTCTATGCGTTGCTTTTTTCACTCTGTTGATTCTGTCTTTGGTGCAAAATATTTTCAATTTTTTGAGCTGGATGCATGCCTGTAATCCCAGCATCTCCAGGAGGCTGAAGCAGGATCCCAAGTTTGAGGCCAGACCTTGTCTCAAAATTAAATAAATAAAAAGGGCTGAGGGTGTAGGTCAGTGGTAGAGCACTTGCCTAGCATGTGTGAGGCCCGGGTTCAATCCTAGGTACTGCAAAAAATTTCTAAAAATATATACGAAGTTCAGTTTGTCTATTTTTTTCTTCTAGTGCTTGTGCTTTTGGTATCATATCCAAGAAACCAAGCCAGATCCAACATTATAAAGCTTCTGTTCTGTGTTTTCTTCTAAGAGTTTTAAGTCTTAGTCCTTATGTTTAGGCCTTTGATCATTTTGAGTTCATTGATGTTAGATAAGGGTCCAGCCTGATTCTTCTGCATGTGGGCATCCATTTTCTCAGCATCATTTATAAAAAAGACTGTCCCTTAGGGGAACATGCTTTTGAAAGTTATGAGTCAGTGGAGTATATCTGTGTACCGATGGGCAGGATCTAGGTGATGCTGGAAGAGGGAATGATCTCAGGAACAGGGCCTCCAAGTGAGAGGCGGTGGGCTGGGTGTCAAAGCTGGGGGTGGGTTTTGAGAGTGGAAACTCCACCCACCAAAGGTGAGGGAGAGAGTGTGGGGGAATGCTGGAGGTTTCTGGAGTGGGAAAGGCAGGAAGGCTGTCCCGCCTGCTCGGGTCCAGGCATGACCTCTGTCTCTTTGTCTCCAGAATCAGCGCTGACTCCACCACAGGTGCCACTGCCACCATCACCATCCCTTGTCCCCTTGGAGGCCACCGACAGCATGCTGGAGCTGCCGCACCCACTTCTGCAGCAGACCGAGGACCAGCTCCTGTCCCCGACCCTGGCGTGCAGCCCCCTGATCAACTTCTCTCCGCCCCTGGACCAGGATGACTACCTGTGGGGCTTGGATGGGGGAGAGGGCATCAGCGATCTCTTCGACTCCTACGACCTTGGTGACCTGTTGATTAATTGAGGGGCCGCAGCAGCCCACCCCCATCTCTACCTCCTCGCAGACAGACTGACAGGTCCTCTGCCTGCACAGGGACATTGGACACAAGGTGCCACCCTCAGGGCATGAGAGTCTCCTCTCCTTTCTGACCTCCCTGCCAGCAGAAGCTGTCTGGGGACAGGTGGAGGATGTGGGGGAGGGGCAAATGAGGGGTTGGGTCCTGTCCTTCCTCTCTGACCTCTGACCTCTCATGTGAAGGACCACAGGTGCAGGTTATTAGGTTCAGGGAAAGGCCCCGCCACCTCCTTTTGGGGGGTTATTAGGACCCTTGATTTTCCGAGAAGCACTTAATGCCCTTGTATTTATTTCAGGTTAAGTTGTGTTTGTCATTCTTCCTGAGTTTTAGCAGGGAGATTGTTCTAGTTTCTGGCAAGGCTTCTCCTCAGATAGGTCCATTCCCGCCCACTGTCCAAGGGCAGGCCTTCCAGGGGACCAGACACTGGTCTCTGAGGAGTTGTCCAGTTTACCAGAAAGCTCATTGCACTTAGGCCTCAGGATTATCGCCAGTGCCAGGCCCTTGACCTCTCCAGCCGAGGTGTCGGCCTGGGACTCCTGGTCTTCATCTCACAGAAGGTTCCAGCGGCCATCTTGGGGCAGGCAGCTTTGTGGTTCCTGTGGAAATAGGAGCAGCTGATCCAGGAGACTCCTTTCCTAGGAATTCCTTACCTCTTCCTCACCTTAGAATGTAAAAGTGATCTCCCAGGGAGGCGGCAGAGAAGACTCTGAGGACAGACAGGAGTGTGCAGGGGACACTCTGGCTGCCGCGGACACCTGAGCCCGGGGAGGCAGAGGCAGGTCCACCAGAGAAGAGGAAGAGGCAGGAGCAGGGACCTGCAGGAAGCATGGCCCTGGGGCTGCTGGTGCCCTCCCCAGTGTCCCTGGGAGCACGCACGTGTGTGCCCCGCTGTTGGAGGGGATAACGTTTTAGGGACATCCCCTTCCCTCCAGTTCTTGTAGATCTCTAAGGACACAGGTGGCCAGGGCTTGGTGGCACGTTTGCTCCTTTTGGTCACTGTAATGCTGAAGCTTCACGGCAGACCAGGCCTTGGCAGTTAACAAAATAGGTTTGTGTCGCCCTTGCAGGCGTGGGGACTTGAGAAGCTCTTTTGGCTTTACGCGCCCAGTCCCCCAGGGGCCTGACCATCCCACCTGCAGCCCTCTCGCCCAGCCCACCCACCCGGGCTGAGCCAAGGCTGTGCCTTCTGGAGAGAGGCACCCAGGGGTGGTGGTCTGAAAGACCTTCCACCCGCCTCAGGGAGCTAGGGCTCCTCAGGAGCTCAGCTGGGCAGCACTTTTTTTTTTTTTTTTAATGTTTGTAGCATTAAGTTGATTTAAAATATGAAGTTGACTTTGTTGAGTTGAAGTTTGGGGTGTGAGCTTGAGAGTGGGGCCTAATGTGAGCGAATGCCCAGTTGGAGGCAGCTGTGCTTTGTGGTTGGCTCAACTTCCCGGGCCCCCAAGTTAGCCCTCCCAGGAGTAGACATCGGCTCACAGACGCCCTTCTCTTATTTTGTATGCTTTATGGACATGGATTCGGTCTCCACTCCCCAAAACCTCACAGGGGGCTCATTAGAAGCCCACTGGAAGCCCCGGCTGGGAGTGGCTTTGGCCCCCTCCTGGGGGGTGAGGTCTGCTGTGGGGCAAGTGGGGCTGGGGGGAATGTTCCTGTCCCAGGGTCTCTGCTGGGCTGCCACTGAACCAGGCACAAGCTCTGAGGACAGAGACGCTTGATCTCCATGCCTTGGGCCCTGTCTGGAGTGTTCTTCTAGAATCAAATTGCAGGAAAGGGAGAAGAGGCCTGCAGGACCCACTTGGAATGAGTCGAATGCTGAAGTGTGGCCAGAGTTTAAGCTCATGTCCCCCAGGCCCATCCACGGGGCTGGACAGAGGGCCTTCCTGAGCGGCGGCCTCTGCCCACTCCTGGGCTGTCCCCTTCACACCCTGCCTGAAGGTCGAGGGTTTAAGCCTCTTTCTTGCCAGTAACCCTTGAAACCTCCTAAATTCTGTAGAGCGCTTTGAGAACGCCATGTTGAGTGTTCATTTCCTTCCAGGGCCACRTGAACTTTAAAACTAGGGCGAAAGAAAAGCCCTGAAGTAAATGATTTCTGCCAGGAAATTTCTCAGCCACACCAGCAGCCCCTAAGTCACTCATGTCCCCAGGGATATCAAAGGCTTGGGGACTCAGGGGACTGGGTAGCATTAAATTGTTAGTAGACTTGAAGATTCAAAGAGCTTTCCTAATCAACACCAATGAAGGTGTCAGGATTCCCTTCTCCACGGTAGGTGGTCAGCTAGGGCTGCAGGGAAGAGGGAGATGGCCGTGGGGTGGCTTGACTTTGTCCCTTTCCCAGCCTGTGGTGTTCTCCGCTTTGTTCTGCACAGTGTTTAGGGTTAGAGTGAATCTGGGTGCGCCAGGTACCCCAGTGTTGTGTGGCTTAGCGCATTTGAAGAGAAAGCCTTTGGGGTTGTTTGGAAATGTCTTCCGGGTTCTTGTCGTTGTATCCTGAGGTCCTGCCTCATCCTGGGACCGTGTTCTCCCATGAGGGCCCTCAGTGACCAGGATGGCCACAGGCCCAGCTAGCCTACTGGCTGCTGGGCGACAGGAAAAAGCTTTGCAGCTGTCATTTGTCTTGAGGGTGCACTGGCCAGAGGGAACTTGGTCCCTGTGCCTGGGACTCCATGCGGGTCATTCCCCTCTGGGCCACGCTCCCTGGGTCCTCCTTTTTGAGTACCAGCGGGGCCTCCTTGTGTTGGGATGTTTGGGCATTAAAGCATGGCAGCCTGGGAACTCTGGATGCTTGTCCTTGTCCTGCTTTCTGAGTTACACTCATTATCAACTGTGGGTCTGGTCCCCTGCAGGTGGGGGTGGGGTACCATGCCAGGAGCATGTGTTTACCCAGAGGCAGCCTCCCCCCACCCCACCCTGGCTTATCTCCAGACCTGAAATCTCAGCATCAAGACATCAAGAGGTTAGCAGCACCCAGACCTGAAATGTGACCGCCCTGCCTCCATCACCCTCCCCTGGGCTGTGCCAATGGTTTCCCTAATCTTCTCTTTGGTTTGATGCTGTCTTCCATATTGTCCTCTGCACCAGTGGTTCTGAGTGGAGTCCCCAGGCCTGGAGACAACTTAGGGGCAGGACCAGAATTCCGAGTCCTGATGAGCCCTCCGGATGGGGTTAAGGTAGCTGAAGTTTGAGGGCATATGCCCTCCTCTACCCAGAGAGCTTTCCAGAGTGTCCTCAGCGGGCCCCTCTACTTAATGCTCCTCTGTTCCCTCAGGAAGACCTTCGCTCCGTCCTTGACCTCRCAGTCCACCTACCCTACCACTCCAGCTCCCTTGGCCGCTCCTTCCCACCATGCGCAGCCACACGGCCCTCAATATCCACGTCCCCTCTTCTGGGCCTGTCCCCACGCTCTTCACTGTACCCAGGGTGCCCTGTGCTCCATTTCCACCAAGCAGGTGCCTGCTCATCCCCAAGGGCAGGTTCCGGAGCCTTTCGGGGTCTCATCACTAGCACGTCCTCATAGCACGTCCTCATTCGTGCTTCGTATACCGATTGGTTATTTGTGGGTTATTGTCTACGACGTGTGAGGCAGTGGGGAGATGGAGGCGAGACCCGGCCCCCTCCGCAGGCTTCCAGACAGAAGTGTGATTACTAATGATGCGACAGTGGGGAGGGGTCATTAGAAAAGAAAGTAACAGCTGAGCAATGTCTTTTTTTTTTTTTTTTTTTGTACCAGGGATTGAACTCAGGGGCACTTGACCACTGAGCCACATCCCCAGCCCCATTTGTATTTTGTTTAGAGACAGGGTCTCACTGAGTGGCTTAGCGTCTCGCCATCGCTGAGACTCTCCTCCCGTCTCAGTCTCCCAAGCCGCTGGGATTACAGGCCTGCGCCACTGCACCTAGCCTGAGCAACGTCTTAGAGGGGACCCCAGTTCCTGGCAGAGCCATCAATACTTTCTGTCCTGTCTCCGCAGACAAGGGCAGATCTCACAGGACATTGCCTGCTGCCCCTGAGGAGGGACACTGACAGCTAAGAGCCAAAAAGAATGACCCAGAAAGCCCCCAAAAGGTTGACACAGACCCGGAGGGCATTGGGGTCAGGGGACCAAGTCTGGGGGTTCTGTCAGACCACAAAGACTAGCCGACCAACGAGGAGGGTCTGGAGTTTGACACCAGGAAGTCAGTTGGCACAGAAGGCTTGAGGGTGAGCCCGTCCAGGCCAGTGCAGCGGGGCCTGAGGTTGGGGCACTCACAGGACAGGGGCTGTGTAGAGATGAAGCCTTTGCGTTCTGTCTGGGCTCAGCGCGGTCCTTCACACAACCTCATCTCATTTAACACCCACAACAACTATGAAGTCATCGCCACTTGGTGGATAAAGAGAATCTGAACCCAGGTAACCCTGATACGTCATCGGTGGGGATCTGAGACGGTGCCAGCCACTTGGGAAACAGTTTGACTGCTCCTCAAGAAGATAGGCTGGGCACAGTGGTGCCCACCTGGAATCCCAGTGACTTGGGAAAATAAGGCAGGAGAATTGCAAGTTTGAGGCCAGCCTGGCGACTTATTTGAGACCCTGTCTCAAAGGCTGGGGATGTAGCTCAGTGGTAAAGTATCCTTGGTTACACCCCCTCCCCCACACACACCCACAGACAAGGGCTGGGGTTGGGAACTGGCTTAGTAGTGGAGTTCTTGCCTAGCATGTGGGAGGTACCCCAGCACTGCAAAAAGAAAGGAAAAAAAAGATGCACAAAATAATCACAGGATTTAATGATTCTAGGGGGTCTACCTAAGAGAAATAAAAACAAGATTGCACATAGTGTTCACGGCAACATTATTCAAAATAGACCCAAATTGGAAAGACCAAAATATGCATCAACTGGGAACAGACAAAATGATTAGGTCCATAAAGTGGAACACTATTCAGTCATAAAAAGGAATGAAGAACCGATACAGA